AAAAAAAGTGATTGCCTATGGCGAGGAGGACTGCTGGCCCAGAGATATATGTGGTCGTCCTTTGATGTGGTCGAACTACGAAGCTACTCATATCCCATTTTATTGTAAATGGTAGTGAGCTCAAGAATAATGTAAGCCATTTCAGATCTGCATCCAGTATAAGTATAGCTAAAAAATATCACCAATTCTTGAATAAGGTTATTTAAGGACTGCTAGTGGAGTATTTCATATAAGTGATTATAATATCCTACACTTTTCTACAATTGAGTTAACCGTAACATTCCATGGGCTTGCCTCCCAACATCTTTTTTCACCAAAATTGAATTGCAGTTTGCACCTCGTCTAGATAAGCACCAACAAGACACAGCGATTATGGCAATTATATAACAGTCAGGCCTCTTCCTGATCGCACTAATTGTTGGAAAATTTGTGAAATAAAAATGTATTTCTCACCAAAATAAGTGATACTACTTAAATTAGATTTGAGTATGCTTCGAAACTATCAGAAAATATTGGTACTTCAACTGGTAGCTGAATTTTGTCCAGTAAAATAATTAGTCCCCTCAAGCCGGTTTTGGTCAGGGTGCTTATGTGACCGAGATAATTTCGAAATTGCAATCAACTTTGGATGAAATAGCCTTATTAGGTACAATGAGGTCTACTAACATAACATCTGGGAATGTACCAAGTCCACGGTCCGACTTTGGAAATAATTATGCATACAATGGACTCAAGACAAGGTGCGTTTCTATAAGTCTTCCTACCATTATGACTAAGTTGCGAAAACAAGGTTAAACACTTTCTACTAACATAATCTTGACAAAAGTTAGCAATTCTTCCGAAGCGGCCTAGGCCGACCTGTGTTTATGCCAGCACTTTTAGCCTAGCATCCACATCATCTTCACACGAGTCTTGTGCCAAAGTGCAAATGTGATAAATTCACACATTATAACCCCATAACCCAAAAGCTTTTCAATTTATCTTGCCAATATCTACCGTAAAATTCATCACTTGTCTTAGCAACCGTGCGATTGTATAAAAAGTCTTTTAATTATAAAAAAAAGCTTGACTGGTTTATTCCGAATTATTGTACACTGACATCTGGCAACATTTCGGTCAGCAGGTCCCTGGCAGCTGTCTTCCAGCGCCTTGATCTCTTCCTCGAGGTAGAACAATCTACAACCCGCGGAGACATCGATAGCTTGGCCGGTAGACTCCGTCTTACTGGGTTCCGACAAAATTTCTCTTTTGATGTCTCAAAAGTTCCTTGGACCTTTTCGAGATCTTCATTATACGAGAGCAGACTTGGGGATTGTGATGCTTCCATTGGAGGCTGACAAGCCGGTGAATTAAAGATACGACCTTCGTCGCAGCCAAAGGTTGAGGTTTGTGACATGGGCACCTCGGAAGGCAACAATCGGTGGCCAAATGACACTGCATGCGTGGAACCGATGCTGCTGGGATAGCAAATGGGGCTGGACGCTGATTGGTGGTGTGTTTGGCTATCTGGTCGCATGGGCAACACAGGCGTTGTCCTCGCGCAGCAACCGGTAAGTAAGCTGGGCCGTGGGAAGTACAGATGGGTGGGGAACGGAGGAGGGGTGGTCTGGCCGTAAGCAGAATTCGGAGGTGGTGTGTTATAGGATGAGCTGGAGTGAGACGACGAAGGGGAAGGGTAGGAGTGTAAGGATGGTACAGCGGAGGAGGCAGAAGAGGCTGGAGAAAGGGTGGAATATGGTGAACACACCGAGGCAGCATGTATCACGGTTGGGGAGACTGGAGAGTATGGTCCCGGCGAAAGCACTCTGCCTTGTGTGGATGGTAGATGGGAAGAGCAGAACGGGGGTAGGGTACGGGTGGTCTCCGCCGCCGTATGGAAATGCTCAAAGGGCAACGAAGTATATGTACATTTCCCCACATCTGTCGCGTATCTCTGGCTTGAATTAGCAAAATAGGCCTGAGTTACGGGAGTGTTCAAGTCGTCTTTATTGCTGTCGTCAGGGCGAGGAGATGAGGTCATTTGGCTTGACTCAATCTCCACGTGTCTACCTCCAGAAGTCGTCCAAGAGGATCCAGAGGACTGACAACTAAGCGATGGATTATGGCTTTGCAATGCTTGGTATGAATATTGATCATGCGGAGGCAGACGAGCAGGAAGGCGAAGAGTAGTTGTGGCTGTCGAATGTGGCGGTGGTGAAGGTTCGCGAAGAGCATCAGCTCGAGACGCAGGTTGATCTGGTGGTAAATTGATTTCATGGTCCATGGTGATGAAAAACTCTTCAATAAGATCTGCTGACAATTCTGGAAGATCTATCTCTCTTCTTTCTGTGGAGTAGAAGATAAAATGGACATCGATGAGTATCATGCAAACATAAATAAAAGTGTAACCTACCAGACAGCGTAGAAAAATGGCAAATGGGTTAGAAGAGCACAAGAGGTCAATCTCGATTCCGTTGGGTCCTTGCAATAAACTAGTCCTGAGAGATCACTTCTCCTAATCATTTGATGTTTTCGTATATACGAAGTGTAACAGGGTTTTAAAATATTATAGTGACTAAGAGTTATATTCGCTTCAGATCACATGATGTGATAGTTGAATAATCACACAACGAAATGATTAGGTTTCACTCAGTCTTGTCTCTCAAAAAGTAATCTCATCCAGACCGGATTGCAGGTTGGAGCTCGCCTGGGTCCCATCAGGA